GATTAGACAATACAGTCCAACAGATACTGATACAAACAAAGTGTAGTTTACAAAATCCGTGTCTGTTTCAGGGAGTCACACATCAGCAGTGGTACCTCTTCAATGATTTCCTAATTGAGCCAATTGACAAGGTAACTATTTGATTTCATTTATGCTACTGACATGTCATGTTTCCAGTCATGTCAAAGTGTTGTGTTCGTGTTTGTCAAAGACTGAAGCTGCCCAGTTTGATGTGAGCTGGAAGGTGCCAGGCATCCTGTACTATGCCAAGAGGAACTACCACACCAAATACGACCTCCGCAGTAAGTTTTAGGACAACAAACCTGGCGAATTTACTTGAAGGTTGTTGTTTTTTTTATTCGCCTGCTCACGCGTTGAGGTTTGTCTCAGTTAAAAATCCCATAGATGCCAGCGTGCTGCTGACGGAGGCCTCGTTGGCCCGGAAGCAGAGGAAGAGTCACGCCACGTTCATCCCCCTCATGGTCAGCGAGATGCCGCAGGCCGGTGACATGGTGGGGCTGGACGCCGAGTTTGTCACGCTCAACCAGGTGTGTCTGGGTTATAACGCCGCTGTCTGTGTACCTCACGCTGTCTGTCACAGAAGACGCTTACAAGAAAGCCAGCTCACTCAGAGAACTCGGGTTAAGAGGCACTGTAGTAACCTGGTTCCTGTAAAGCTGTGTATACATTCGATGAATGATTTAAATGTCTTTGTGATGAGTTTTTACGAGATTCAGCTCAATGCTTAATTGTTGAGCTCTGCTGAGAGTATTATTACTTTTGTAATCAAACTAGCTCTATATTGTACAGTGTGTAGTTCGTACTAAAGCTGGTTGTTGTTGTAAAGTCATCTTATTGTGGTAGGACACTTTGAATAAACCTCACGACCGTGTGTTTGCAGGAAGAGGCGGAGCTTCGCAGTGACGGCACCAAGTCGACCATCAAGCCTAGCCAGATGTCCGTGGCCAGGATCACCTGCGTGAGGGGCCAGGGGCCCAACGAGGGAGTGCCCTTCATCGATGACTACATATCGACTCAGGAGCAGGTGAGTGTAAACAGCGGGGGGGTCGTCCATTAACATAACCTTTGAAGGAAGTGTTGAATGTTGTGGAAACACGATGCATCTGACAAATAAACTATTCCACGGGTATGAGACCTATTCCCGATCACTACCTCTATCGTGTTACCGTCATTGTCATTGGACAGTGTGTCCTTTTGTTGGTGATGATAATGCACTCATACACACAATGGAGGATAATCTGTTACAAGAACAAGACATTTGGTCGGACTGCATATCTAGCAATTCTGGAAAGTTCTGAAATAAGTAGCACATCCACAGACAGTGTTTTCTTTTGTTTACTTTCCAATTCCTGATGGACAAGAAGCAAGCGTCACAGAAAATGATCTTTATTTGTGCTTTATCACTTGTCCCTCGTTTATCTAGTTAGACAAGCAACCATACCGAGTACTTTCTTCTAGCTTGATAGGAAAGACTGTATTTATTAGTTTTGATGAACATTAACCCTGAAGAAGCACTCGTGAAAGCGTCGCTCTTGCTGTCGACCCCTAACACTGCTGAATGTCTGTTCTTCCAGGTGGTCGACTATTTGACTCAATATTCTGGCATCAAACCGGGAGACCTGGATGCAAAGATTTCTTCCAAGCATTTGACCACGCTGAAGTCCACTTACTTAAAGCTGCGCTTCCTCATTGACACGGGAGTTCGCTTTGTTGGTCACGGTTTACAGAAGGACTTCCGGGTTATTAATTTACTGGTATGTTATTTCACAACTTTAAAGTGTCATTATTTTTATTTAAATGGGTATTTTAGGTTAACAGTTGACTGTGAAGTACTTAGTAGTGCATACATAAAATGAACACAGGTAACTTTAGTCTGTTTCTTTGCTGTTTTGAAGGTTTTGAAGGACCAAGTCATCGACACCGTCTACCTGTTCCATTTACCTCGCAAAAGGATGATTTCTCTGAGATTTCTCGCCTGGTACTTTCTAGGTAAGTTAACGATCAAGCATCTGCTATGATTAACAGATCACATGACGAAAGGGTTGGCTCGTAATGACAAATCGTCAGATCGTTATCAGCCGACTACAACTTCCTTCAGTTCCTTCAACTCTTATGGAGCTGTGAAGCATCTTTCCGCTCATTGTTTGGCTCTCTGGCAACTTCACGGTTTGGTTTGAGAGAGAATATTTGACATGCATTCATCAGGAGGTGTAGTTGCAGTGTTTAAACGTTGCGTAAGAGTGACACTCATTGACATCCTGGATTCATCTATTAAACGCATATTGTAGACACTTCTGCCTGCTTCTCTCTGAAATTATATTTAGTGACAGTGTGGTCTCCATGGTAGCTCCGACAGCTTAATAAGTGGTGGGCCGGGTTGGAGGGGCACTTTGTCCCCGTTGTAAACTGATGCTTCATGGTTGAGATGCAGCCGGATTGTCCTTTTTCCTCTTTGTGGCTCCTAGACCTCAGCATCCAGGGAGAAACCCACGACAGCATAGAGGATGCACGCACCGCTCTGCAGCTGTACAGGAAGCACGTGGAGCTGGGTCGCGGAGGGGGGAACGACGAAGTCAGGAAGGTCCTGAAGGGACTCTACGAAAAAGGTCGCCAGATGGACTGGAAAGTCCCGGAATCGGAAACAGGAGATGGTCAAGGTAGCCCAAAAAGTACGACGCAACATTGAATTAGATGCTGATGTTAGTGATGTAATAATGAGTTCATGGGAGACTTGTCTGAGTGGATTGAAAGCACTCTCCTTCCTTCAACAGGTGCTGCTGTGTTTCCCTCTGTGATGGGGCTGTGAGCTGCACCGGGACATCTTCCCACTGAAGAGTTTTGATTGACATCTGCTGGTTCAGTTGCTCTCATATTTTGTACTTATTTTGCATTTATGTTTGCATTGCGTAGAAAGTTCATGAAGGCCTTTGTTGCCTGTACAGTCCACTCCAGCTTGGGGTTTTAATCATGTCAAAATTTGTACTTTTCATCCAGGAAAGGTTTTTGGAAAAAGAAAATTTGTATCGTATACTTTTGGAGGCTTTTTTTAAAAAAAAAAAACGGAAAGTTCCTTTTGGTGCGTGTAAATAAATAAATGTATCATGAGCACAAGAAGACGCATTGTGTTTAATACCAAGGAGTGGAAAACATATGTTACATTATTAACATGGTATTTCTGAGAAGTCTTTTCAAATTTAACAGTTCATTTGTTTTGTCTGCTTCGCAGTAGCGCTGTCCTCAAGCTAAGAAATTCTAAGTCGACTAACAATACGATGTTGTTGATTAATCGATCAGTTAGGATCTCCTACGAACGATCGTAGTCGTCTATCCAGCCTCGGATTCCCCTCCTGGATCTGTTCTGACTCAACGTGCTTTCTGTTTGCAGCCACTCATGTGAACAGACGTCCTCTTCAACATGACCTTTTCTGTATGTGGACATGTTGCAGCTTGCATTTGAATAAAATGTGTCATTGATAAATCTAAACACGACTGTAAAGGGAAAGGTCAATTGTTTTGGAATAACCCTACAGCAGTGAAACATGAGCGAAGAACCTCCACAACACTTCTGAGGGAAATATTGTACTTTTTACTCCACATTTATTTATGAGCTATAGTTACTTGTCTACACTGGACTAAACTACCAAACTGTAGAGTAAAATGCTGCTCTTACATCACTTTTTACAAGAATGTAATCTATAATATGTCATTTTAATGCACGAGTATTTTTACTTTTAATACTTTTGCTTACGTAGAATTATGAATATGAAACTTTAAAACATGAACATGAAATTGTATTATTGTTAGATCTAAACAGTTCTTCCACCACTGCTGCTTGATGAGATCCTCCAGACCTCCCTCAAAAATCACGTTTTAACATGTTCTTAGAGTGAAGGTGCCCTCTGCTGGCTGTGCAGGTTAGTGGGATGTTTCACATTTTATCAGTTCAATATGTCTGGTGTTGCTTTTTGACATTCTATACTATTTTTCCTTTTCTAATTATTTTTTACATACTATATGACTTTACAAAACCTTAATAAAAATGTCACAACCACAGTATATTATGTCATGATAAACATTACAATGTCAGTATTATAAGAATTATATGTACTGTATAAGAAATGTCACAAAAATGTATGCTATAGTATGTAAATAAACATGTCACTAGTCACAGTATATTGGGTCATGAAAAATATAAAAAAGTATAGTACGCCATAAAAAAAGTTATATAGTACGTTATAAGTATAAAGATCATTACAGTGTCATAAAACTTCTTAGTATCCTATAAAACATACCATTGTATATCAAGAGTCAGTTGAGTAAGCCTTAAAAATCTCACAAAACAAACAGCATTGTGCCACCAAGTAAAATATACACAATATAGTATGTTGTAAATAATTATAAAGTCAGTTTAGTACGTCATAAAAATGTATAGAAAAATTCACAATAAAAATGTGTCATGATAGAGCGAGTGTCAGGAAACAATGCTCTTTAAATGTCAATTCTTCATGAGCTCAGAAAAACAGCCGGTTGTCAGTTACGCAACGATGCATTTGCCGTCCAAGAGGATTATAGTTTATTTATCTTAAGCGGGAGGAGGAGTCATCAGAACAATGTAAAGATTCATGGTTTTCACTGGACAGGAAGGGTGAATTGTGATCTGTAAAGTAACTCCACATGCGAGACGAAAAGTATTATATATGCTTTTGAGATAGTATAGAGCTGCATAAAAAGGACACATTTAAGTACAGTACTTGAGTAAATGTACTAAGATACAACCACAGTTTATGTGCAAAGGATTTGTAACAGTTCAGTGTTTAACATTTAAAATTAAAAGTGAACAGCAAGTTGCAGCATATGGAGTAAAAAGCAGGACATATGTTGAGTTACTGCAGCTGTGTCTCCTGGTTTGCTTACTGATGGATGCATCACACCCCACCATTACATGCCACTATAGCTAGAAAAAAAACAAAACACATTCAGTATTGCAAACTGTTTATTCATAGTAAATGAAAAGTGTGCAATTCAGTGAGTGGGGGGGAGAGAAAAGAGAGAGAACGAGAGAGAGAGAGAGAGAACGAGAGAGAGAGAACAGGGGTGTGTGGGACGGTCGATGTCTTTGGTCCATACTCTGGTGGAGGGGACGTCAATGAATTGGTGGGAGACAAGAAAAGGCACTTGAGTTTACAGTTGTCTCAGAAAAGTAGTTTTGAGGAGGAGGACACAGTCTACTGGAAGAAGGAATGAACGAGATGTTTTAACCTCTATTATGCCTAATATGAATATCACATACAAAATGCCCCATGTGAGCACAAAATTATATAGCTACATAAATGTATATACAGTAAGGAATCAGAAAGTAAAGTAGGGCGGGATCAAGTAGAAGAAGAAGAAGAAGATGTGAAGTTTTGGATTAATCCCCTTTGGAATTCTTTTACAGGCTGAGGGGGGGGGGGGGGGGGAAAGGCAGCAACTTCAAAACAGGACAAAATTATCTTTGGTGAAAACCTAATGTTACTACAGATTGGAAACAAGTGGATAAAGTGAGGCAGACTAGATCTACTCTGAGTCATGACTGAAAGAATCCAGCACCTCCAGGGCTCACTGGAGATATGTGGAATACAAGCCGATTGATCCGTCATCTGTCCGACAGCTTTCCATCCAAAATGTAGCCCCCAAAACACCAGTCAAGAAAGGTCTTTACCACCTCCGAGAGCATTGAAAGAAAAGTTTGACATTTCAGGAAACACACTTTCTCACTACATTACTGAGTTAGATAAGAAACAGCTAGCTTAGCTTTGTTCAAGAAAACAAACGAAGGTCACCAGGGCTGGTAGGAGGTTTTTGTCACATTAAGACAGGAAACAGGAGTTTTCTAGCTTCAGGACCGTGTGAGTGAGACAGTTCCTTTAGTGGAGGTGGGGCGCTTAACCAGGTGTACAGTCGCCAAAGCAAGCAGTTATTCTTCATTATTGAAGTGTTTGCTCCTGTTAAACCATTCACTGTTTGAAAACACTTTCGATAAAGCATACATTTCACTTTTTTGTTGCTGCACCATCATTGATGAGAACCTCAGGTGTTTTGTTTTGTTCCACCCCCCCCAACGCACACAGGGGGCAACAATGAGCCTAATCTCACTAAAAACACTTCTACCAGCGACACAAAGATGAGACGACGGTAAATCAGAAGTGTTTTCAAACTGTAACAAAGGAAATGAGTATTTCACAAAATGTCATACTTTCCCTTTTAGCCTAAACTTATTTATGTGTCGTTACAGCACATATTTAAGAAAGATCGTAAACGAGTTAACGCTCTTCTCGCCACAACATTAACTAATATAATAACTGAAGTAAAAACTCAAATATGACAAAAAAATCTCCCCTTCATCAGAAAACCACGAAGAAATTAAAAAAAAAAAAAAAAAGGGCGGGGCAGGGGGGCTTATTATGAATTCATTTTTCTTCCAAAAGACTGCTCGAAGGAAGACAACACATTATGAAGAAAATGCAGCAATTATGTAACAACCAGTCTATGACTACAGCCTTGCAGCTCCACACACTGTACGTACACAACTACAAGAAGATCAGAGGAATCACCAGGGGTCCCTTAAATAAGAGCCCACAGAGGAAACGTGCCACAACATCAGCAATGAGGTATACACCAGCTGTGGACACTACGATGAGACTTCAGCCTCAAAGCATCTCGGCCCCCATAGGACCAAAAAAAAAAAAAAAAAAAAGACAACCTGCCAATGCATTCAACAGTTTTTGATCGTGAACGTGAGAATATAAAAAAAAAAAGGGGAAGAAAAGATCTTATCCTCTCACCTATATTTATAAACCACACGCCCGCAGTACCATCTGTTAAAAAGCTCATGATGCAGACATACATGTCTCTAGAAAGGCAAATGTGAAGTCTCTCTGTGACTAAAGGCAAGCATGTCATTAATATGCCCTCCATGTGCAAACAGCAACATAAAGAAGAAGAAACGGTGCGTGAGGAAGAAGATTCATCAGAATAAATGTCACGGGCTAAATATAGAACAGCATGAGGACAGTTTCCTTTGTTGTGAGTTTGAACATGTTTTTTCAAAAAGTATGTAATGAGCCCTCTCTGTGTTACAACCACAGCGCGCACAGTCACCCCGCTGGCCAGTGTGGCAGCATTTAAAGGAAAAGCTTGACCTGTTGGGGGAAATGTGCACATTTGTTTTCTTGCAGAGAGTTGGATGATAAGTTTGATACCACCCTCATATCAGTACGGCAAATATGAAGCTACAGCTAACAGCTGATCGGCTTAGCATAGCTTAGCATAAAGACGGGAAACAAAGTCAACAGCTAGCTTTGCTCTGCTGAGCACACAAACTCCCATAAAACCATAACTTGTAGTTTTTACACTGAAGTTATTTTGCGAAATAAACGACAAAGTGTAAAATTTGTGAAATTTGGATTTTGTGACATTAGGACCGCTTAACCGCTTTTAGTCTTTGTGCTAAACTAAGCTAACCATGTGCTGGTGATAGTTTCAAATTTAGTCTTCAAATATGAGACTGGCATCCATCTCTTGATCCAACTCTTGGCAAGAAAGAGAACGAGTCATTTCTCAAACGTGAAGCTGTTGCTTTAAGAGGGCCTCCTCTGTGTCCACAGAGTTCCTCTCAAGCACATTGAAGTCCTAGTGTTAACAAGTTCCCTATGGTTTATAGCAGCCATATGAAAAGCTCTGGAGTACAGTTTCGATATGTTTAATTGTTCTTACCTTGTATTAACGATAGTCTGTAGTGTTGATTGCACGTCTACTCTCCTCGTGACAAAAAAAAATAAAAAAATCTCTGTTACTGCTAAACTACTTTTGCACTTTCACTACGCTTTCTATCGTGAAGGCATTGAAATGGTTCTGCGGGACGAGAACAAAATAAAATAAAAATCAAACGTGCAAGTCAGTGAGCCGACGTAAAGCCACGCAAAAACAGAAATAGTACGAAGAGTTCAACTTCAATAGTGCAGACATTTGTTGCAGGTAATCACATCAGTCTCCGGCAGACAAAAAGAATCCGTTACAGAGACCGACGATAGCGATGAGATCTCTCAAAGTGGGCCTAAAGATAGAAGCTGTTACCTTAACCAGGGAGGGAGAAATGCAAAAAAGGAAGAACAGATATAGAACCGTGAGAGCGTTTCAAGTTTGAAGGATGAATGGATAGATTCAGCGAAGTGGCATTGCAGCTCAACTGACGGAAGTATGTAAACTTGTATTCTATTCTTCATTGAAAGGAGTTCGTAGAGGGGAGGGTGTGGGGAGGCTATGGGGGAGGGAAGTGCGAGGGTTAGTAGACGGGGTTTGATTAAGCACGGGATTCTTGTAATGTCAAGGGCAGGGCCTCCGCGGAGGCCTTTGGGGCAGCCCATTATTAGAGGGTCGGTCTTGGTTGTAGGAGGATGTGGAGGAATGGTGGGGACCCCTGGAGCTGTGCGGGTGCTGGGAAGGACCAGAGGAACCACCAGAAGAAGCACCGTCACTCTGGTAGCGGGGGTTAGCACGCCCGGCGCTTCTGTCGGGGTAGTAACCGCCGTTATACCTCGGACCCCCCGAGTGATACCCTTGTCCCTGGAAAGTACGCCTGTTGCCGTGGAAAATCTGAGAATTTGGATGATTAAAATTCAGTGAGCGGCTGAGAATTATTGACATTGCTGAAGTAAGTCAACACCTTTTATGGTCTGAATGAAAACACAACTGACCTGTTTGTTGGGTGGAGGGCGGTGTATACTGGGGGGGCTCTGGGTCTGGGTGGGAGGAGTCTCCAGCAGACTTGGGCTGGCAACAGATGAGGACGTGGAGCTACAGCGGGACCGATTTGAGTAGCCCGTATGCGGATGGTAAACTATAAAAGAAAACGACACGGCAAATCACTAACGGTACAACCTGGGACCCGTCTCATGAAGGTAAACCTTCAGAGAAGCGATATGTCAGCGAGGTCTGTGTCTGGGATTGGAAGAGGTTCCAAGGAAAAGCTTGACCTACCATACATTGAGGTCAATGTATTATTTTAAGACATATCTATTAGTAAATGTTCAGTGGGACTAAGAAGAGAACATTAATAATAATTATGTGAACAATATTTAGTGTCGTGCTCATGCCCGACATGTTTATTCATTATTTTAGGTCCCAAAAATAAACAGAAATGTTCTAATGATCTTCTGTTTTGGTGGGAAACCTTTAACCACTGAATCATGTCAAGAATTAAAATCAAACAAAAATCCATTTTTGGAGAAAGAAAACGTGTTTTATCTGCCGTTTTTTGTATTGTCAGCTTTGGCCTTGTCCATTTCCTCTCCAAGTCATTTAAAGTGCCACACATATTGGCCAATTGTGACGTATAAGAATTGGTTTATTAGCCACTGTGAGTGTGCTTCCAGTCAGCTGACAAACAGCTGTGATTATGATTATGACCTTGTAAAACGCTCAAACTGAAATGCTCGCTTTTCTGATTTGTGTGAAAAGTCTTCTGCATCATTTATGATCAATAAAAGTCGGGAGGAGTGTTTTCAGAAATGTTCACTCTGAACACAAACGAAAACGATGCCGTACCTGATCCAAACCCGGAGATGCTCGTCTTCAGCGGTTCAAGATCAAACGTGAATCTTAGAGCTCTCCCGAGGTCTTCATCATATTTACGCTCACTCACAAAGTGCTGAGGGGAAAACAACAGATTATTGTTAGCAGTGGCTCAACAATGAACACATACTTCACGATGACTCGGCTGTGCGCTAAGAAAGAAAGAGAGAGGCGGGGCCATACTGGAGCAGCAGCATTGTTTCAGTACCTTGATGTCTGCACGCAGCTCAGTCAACTGATTCTCAGACATGGACGCCGACTGGTCCGTCAACCTCCTGAGCTCCTCCGCTCTCTTCTGCCGGGAGTCCAAAATTAGCACTGAAACGAAACAAAACAAATGTGACCTTTTACAGATATGAACATATGTTATGAAACCAACAAGAAGACTTTCAAATCGCTCTTGAGCATCGCGTCTCTGAGCGCAATAGAAATTAATATTTCTCGATTGTCAGTATAGCTGCAGATTATTAAAATGTTTAATTATTATAATGTTAAAGTTCTGTGTCTGTATGACGGATATTCCCTGCAGTCCCAGTAAGTTTCAGTTTCCTGTAAGAACTCAGCTGTCATTTGATATGACAAGTACAAAGTACAGCTGACTCAGCATCTAAAAGATAAACAAGGGTCAGCGATAAAGCCATTTTCAAAGAGATACCATGTACGCTGCTCTTCAAACATGGGAAATCTCCTGCCACAAACGCCTCATTGGGTCCCGTCAGATGTCTGCGAGGACGGTTCTATAGGTTTGAATGGACTTTCATGCTTTTAGGTTGCAGAAAGTCCTCTTCACAAACAGATGGTGTTCTGTATGAAGGGTTTTTACAGAGGAACAGCTTCCTGTTTCAATGTCAAATGCACAGTAATAGAGTCTGCAGCCAGCTGGAAATATCAGGCAACGTGTTGCTTTAGCAAAGCTCTTCTTCAGACTTCACAGTAGAAATAGCGGGTGCGTGTCGGGTTAGCACTGTTGGAACATCAGCTGAACTATGGACTGACGAATCACAGTTTAAACCTCTTCAATATAACCACTGAGTCACCGTGTTTTTCTGGGCTGGAAAACAAATTCAAAATCCAAGTTCCAACTGCGCTGTCGCTGGTTCCAGCTGTAATTCGAGGATGTTTTGGAATGTTGCTTTAACAAAACTCCACATTTGTCGATGTCACAGGGGGCTTTAGGAAGTTTTGATGGACATTTCTTTTTTATGGTATTTTATAGAGCAATCGTTTAACTGGATTCCTCAATTAGAGCTGAAACAATTCGTCCATAATTCGCTCAAAAGAAACTATTTTGATGATCCATAAGTTGAATTTCTTTTATATTATTATATATTCTATGAATAATATGCAAGTTTACTAGTAACTAAAGTTGTCAAATAAATGTATTGGGGTCAAAAGTACACTATTTTTAATTATAAAACAGCAAAAAATGCTAAATAGTACATTCACTCAAGCACTGCAGTACTTGAGTGAATGTACTAGTTTCCACCACTGAAGGAAGCTGTTCTGGAATCGTTTTCCTTTTTTCTGACACTATATTCACCAAACAGTTAATTGGGAAACTAATTGGCAGATGAATCGATAATTAACATAAAGGATTTAGCTGCAGCCCTGAACACGTGTACCAGACGCTCCAGTATGGACCAACAAGGACTGGACTCATCAATACATCTCTTTCTGGATTTAACTGTTGCCGTTTGTATATCTACATACAGATATCTGTTTATAGAGGTTATAAAGGAAAACCATCAGTTAAACACAAGTTTAACACAAGAAGGAGATTAGTAGGAGGCACTTTTTGAGGAAACCTGGCTTTTGTAATGTCGAAGAAATAGCTTCTTTGCTTTCCTCTCAATCCCCAAATCACCTCGCACAAAGACAGCATTGAGTCTCCCCCGACACCTGACACTATTCACTTTTTCCAGGCCTGGAACACACAACACTCTACACTGTGAGGACAGAATAAGAGAGAATGGCCTACTTGTACAAATATGCAGTCTTGCTCTGTCATGTTACACACACACACACACACACACACACACACACAGAGGTGTATGCTGTAGGTATATTAGGACCCCGAGGGCACCACTGCAGTTTTGAAGAAACTGGGACACAACCATTTCTTTTACGACCTCTCCGGAACTGATTCAGGTCAGACTCTCCAGGCCCTTGAACGAGGTGATCATTATATGTGGAGAATGCCAACAGCTCCTGGGTGGTATGTGAGAAGCAGGTCTTTAGTTCAGTCTACGTATTGAGAGAGACAGACACAGACACAGACACAGACAGACAGACAGACAGACAGACAGACAGACAGACAGACAGTACTTACTGGCCTCTGCTTTCACTTTGTCCATTTCTCCCATTAGAGTCACTTCTCTGTCCATTAAACTAGAACAAAAAAAAGAGAGGATGATGAGTCATTTTTCTTTACTTATTCCGATCTATATATTATATAAATATATATATTCTTTTTATTAACTATACAAGTTCAAAGTAGTATTAGTATTGTCTTTTCCAAAGAGAGATCCTTCATTATTCTCTCTGAAAAGCTGAAACGAGATACTGCGGCTTCCTGTTGATAAACTGAATATCTGTTCAGCTCCACTCTGAGCTCCTCACCTCCTCACGACTGCACTGGCTTACCAAAGACAAGACAGAAAACCTTCATATTGCATAAAGGGACAATCATGGTTTTCACAAGTATTAATCAGAACATCAACAAAATTTAAAATCAGAAAAAAAAAAAAAAAAAATCAATAGAAGTTTTGATGAAGTATTAAAAACTGCTTAGAGCTCGTGTTAGTTAAACATAATTCTCCCTCTAATATCTGTTTTATGTTGCTCTGAATAAATCTCCTTCAAGCGACCGCATTTATTCAAGTTTCTCACCAAAACTTCATTTTAGAGATTACATCTGAACATGATCGTCCGTAAAACTGTTTTCTTCTCTTGTGATGAAGCTGGGATTTTAGGCGACCTCTTCAACCAACAAGCTACTGTATACTTATTCTGTTTCCCAAATCTGTTCACTCATGACCCCTCAGGTTTATCTTGCGAACTCTAAAGGGAGTTCCCGACCCCTCCGTGTAAGGAACCACGGCACTTTCCCAAAAAGGAAAAAATACTCTCTCCCTCTCCCCCCTATACACGAGCATTACAAAAAGGAGTGTTTGTTTTTCTACTTTGCTGAGAGGCAAACACCTCGAAATGACTTATTATTATTCGTATTATCAGAATGTGATCCATAACATGTCCTCAGTCAGCTGTATGCGTCTGTAAAAGCAGAATGGGAGCATCTTGATTAGGATAATGGTGTTTTTTCTCTCCTTTAAAGGTATTTTGTGGTGTTGCACTTGTTTGTACACGCAAGACGGGACGGACGTAGTCGTAAAGAACGAGGAGAAAAAGAGCGCCTGAGGAATAAAAAAGGTCAAAACCTGCACAGTTTGACTTTAGCACACCTGGGCCAGTGCTGCGATCATAAAAATAGAATGATAGTAGAACAGACATTAAACAATCTGCTGCGGCCATTTGACCAGTTCAATAGAAAATGGAGCGCAGCGCTGTGCACGGACCGTAGATGTAGAATGAGTTAGTCCACCACAACGGTCACAGATGTTTGTTATATTACACAGAAAATGGCTGCTGCTCTGACAATCCTGCTCAGGTAAATATAATTGAAGTGAGCTACTAAGATATTTTACATACATATAAAAATACTATAACACTCCTGCATTCAAAAACGTACTTTTGTAAAAATATGCAAGTATAAAAACAAAAAAGAAATACTCACTATGCAGCCAAATAGGCTCTTTATTTGTTACATCATGATATAATATAATATAGGATTGTTATAATTGATGCAGTAACATGTAAGGCTGCAATACAGATTACTGAATTCATTTATGTACTGTAAGGTGGTTTAATTTACTGTATAACAATACATTGTATATCATATACTCCTAGATAAATGTAGTGAAGTAAAAAAATACAACATTTCCCTCTGAAATGTAGTAGAGTAGAAAGTAGCATGACAGTTGTACTCAAGTACAGTACTTGAGTCAATGTACTTAGTTACATTCCACCAATGATTTATATACATGTATAAATGCCCGAACAAAATGCGACATGAACTAAAGAAAAAAAACTATCATGGAAACAAAATAGTTCTTCACAACCGAATGGGTCCAGTTGGCTGTGGACCTGGAGGAGCTACCCTCAGGAACTTGGAAGTCCCTTCTACGCATTTCTGTTCATTTAATCCCGAGTAATCACGGCCCCCGCCATTAAAGTTCCTGCACCATTGGAAAGTACCACCCCTGAAGTAGGAACTTGTTTAAGCTACTTGATCAGTCATACAAGCACTAAATTCCTCAAAAAAAAGGGTTCTTGGTGCCCTGGAAAAGCTCCTGCAGTGGAAAAAGTTAGACCTCACTTTTCAACATGCTCTCAAATATTCCATCACATTGAGATTCAGCTACAGAACGTGACCGGAGGCAGAATTTTTAAAAAAGAACCGTGCTCACCAGCTCAGGAGCTCGGCGAACGTCTGCTTCATCTTCTTGATGGAGGAGTCCATCTCCTCCTTCACCACTATCCTGTAGCGAGTCAGTGAGGCGGTGCATCTCTGCAGGTCCTTCACAGAGCGGTCGATGTTGGGAGCTGAGAGGTAAACATTAACTTGACTTAGGCACACGTTGAAGAAGACGAAGAAGTTGCTGCGATACATTTAGTCCCAGACTAGGTTTTACCTGCGCCTTGGTAACGGCACACCGTGCGTTGTTATTAATCAATGATGTTCTAAAAGACTACATGCAGGTAGATACGTTAGGATTTAAGAGGTATTTGGTGTCTAACCCATCTTCTTGACTCCCGATGATCCCTGCTCATCGTTGATGGGTGGGAATGAGGAATGAGGATGTGAATTTGAGCCTGGCCTGTGTCGGTTCTTGTTGCCTCTAGGAACCTGGTGATTCCTCCCTCCTTGCTGTAAGGGGGGACTTGGAGCGCTACCTTGACTTTCTGCTTCTGCACCTGTGAGAAGACGGAGGACATTACAACAAGTCGAGTACGTATTTACAAACCAACTTTCCCCCCAAAAAACTGCTTAAGATAGAGATGAGCCAAATTAGTCGACAAGTCGGTCAGAATATTTGGCTGTTTCGGATGAAGTTTAAGATAAGTCACCAAAAATATTTTTACCACTTTAAAATAAAGAAAAAATGGTGATATTTGATTCGAAATACATTTGACAACTTGGCATACAACGATACGAATATATTACATAGAAAAGGTATTGGACTTGAACTGAAGAACATTTGATCCTTATAATAATCGACGCCCTTAACATTGCTACACAAGGCTGTACATAAACCTGTATTGCTGTTTGTGAGAAGGTTTCATTCACAAAAATGTTTCCCCATTGTAAAAGCAATAATTTCAACAGATAAGAGCTTTGAATCCTGAAACAAAACCGATGACGTAGTGTCGCAGTCATCAGAGAAGCACTGTACATAAATATACAACAAGGAAAAGCTTGACATGCAGTTAAACTGGCCCGTGATTCAGCCGTTCCTCTTTTTGCCTTAGTCATTCATCGGTGCTGTCATTACCGGGGGTTTCTGACGTAGCGGGCTCAGAGTCCAGCTCCACCGCATCCAGGGAGGCGGAGTCCAACTGCTCACTCAGAGAATCAAGAGACTCTCCATCAACGACCGACCCGTTGGCGTGAAAGCCGTTCACCTCGTCCTTGCCCTCCTCGGGCGGCGTGGCCTCAGGCGGAGCCGGCTCTGCTGAAGCCTCCGGCTGAGGCTTGGGCTTCTTTTTCTTCTTGGGCTGAACAAGGAGATATCAATGTCAAACCTCTTTGTTCCAAAATTCTCATTGTTCGTGTTCTCCATCTTTAATCAGAGCGGTGACTCAAAACTATTTCAGTTCACACGGGGAGAGGAAGATTCAAGCTCGAGCAGAAATACAGGTTTGGGCATTTAGATTCAAAAGCCACTTAGTTATAGTTTACAATTACTGAAGAGCACTTTGAACATGCACCCATTTCATTCAAATAAAGCACACATGATTATGCTGACTCAACAGAGAGACACTCAAGATGCAGGCTTTCAGGTTCTCACCTTCTTTTTGCCGGTAACATTCCACTCCTTCAAGATCTCGACCGCACTGCCTGGTGTGCAAAGAAAACAATGATGATGATGAAGTGCCACATGACGAACAATATCTGAAATGCCTTGAGGCTTTGTTGAGCCACCTAAATAAGGAACAAAGCAGAGTGACACACGTGGGACAACCCTCTTGTTCTATAATTAAACCTGCAAAAGTACGAGGCACACACGACGCTCAGACTTGTGAATGTAAAGCATGACGTGCATGAAAGAAGTCAACCTCAAGCTCTTTGTTAAGCCCAAGCAATGTGGGCGGCATGCCAGGTCTGACTTCAGTGTAGTACACCAACAAGGTATACCAGTATTGCCCTGTACTGAACTGTGAAACAACACTAATTGAACATCCGTGTGGTTAGGATGCTGCACCTTAAGGTGGAGCACTTCAATGAGTGGTGAATAGGTGTGATATAAGGTCGAAGGGGTTCTATTGTAAGCGGATCTATCAGTTTCACAAGGAAGTCATTATTTATAAAGGAGGCTTTGAGGCGCATTAATTTCACATTGTTGAGGTCAAGCAGTGACGTCTTCATACCTTCTAAAAAAGCTTGAACGGCCTTGTCGACACAGTTCTCAAAATGCTGCAAAACCAGAACAATCTCATTGTTACTTTTGTTGGGGACAACGGCCCTGACGGCACTGATCTGTAGAGAAAAGGAAATAAGCACAACAGGTATGAAATAAAACAGGTTGTAATATCAATATAAAACAGGTTGTAATATCAATATTACAATAAAGGCATTGTGACATTTAAAAAACATTTGGCTTAAAGACACAAGCCGTCACTTTTTAAAAATTGCTTCTATTCTATAAATTGTTTGTACGATAGACGAGCGTCGCCCATTTGCTTCCTATTTGGGATACTGTCGATGTGTTGAGACACGAGCACCAGCTAGAGGATGCTTTCCCTCACACTGTGTATGGATGAGCTCATCATCGCTCAATGCGACAGCCCGTAGCGTTGGAGCATGTAGGACGATCCCATCGGAGACATTACGCACGATGATAAAGTCACGGCCAAAACAAGCTTCCCCCCTTACAAGTTCTACAGAGGCGTCACCAGTACTTCTCCGAAAAGTTCAGAGATTTTCAACAAAAAAAAGGGGGTAGTGCTTAGTAAAAAAGGACGCTGGGTACAGCGTCTTTTCTCTGGGCGGCCACATCACGAGAAGCATTAAAAACACACTTGTCAATAAGAACCAACGTGTTTGTTGAAGGTTTTGGCTCTACTTTACTGCCACTTTGTTTCAATGAGACTCAAAATGTGCATTAAAGCACGGAAACCCCACAGAAACGTTAAATTACAAAACCAAAGTCTTCCATGAGAACCGTGAGACTCCACTGTGTGCTGCCCCGTCTTCCTGATGCCTAGTTCACAATGCATGACTTGAGCCATGAGCTCCCCGACAAAAGCCAGAGAACAGAGGCAAATCGGCATGGAGCAAATTTGAATCCATTGATATAAAAAGAAGTGATTTTGTGTTTAAAAACGATTTATTTACACCTGCCAGTGATGTGCGCTGTGTATACTTCTTACCTTCTCCTTCATCCTCTCAGTTGTTCCTCCCTGGGACATGGCCATTTTTGACCGAGTGTCAAACACCACCCCGGACGTGTCTGTTAAAAAACAAACAAACTCCATTGTCTATTCAGGCCTTGAGGCATATTTGCAATTCAACGTAGACGAGCATCATTTGCAAAACAAAGAACCGGCAGACATCTTCAGGACTCTCCTGGAGAGAGACGTTGGCTACTGTTTGTGAATCATGTTACGATGACAGATTTATGCCTGGGAGGATATTTGTCTTAAAAAGGAAGGACTTTCGTTCTACATTGAAAAAAACAAAAAAACACATTTTTAACTGAAGTCAATCGATTAATAAGGTTGACCTAACAAACAAGTTGAAAATAGATTTGGTTTGTTTACAGTCGGCATCATTAGCAAAAGAAGCTGTGGAAAATAAAAAGAAACTCATCTGTGGCTGAAAGGTCTTCAATCTGATTTAAATGCCTAATAACCAATGAATGCTTCCAGAAACACATGTTTGTAAGACAAACAACCTGAGGAGCGTTTCTGTGATCAAACGCAGAATAGAAACAGAGTTACAGTAAAATAATAAATAAATGTATATTTCCAACAAAGGTCTGAGGACAATTCTAAAACAAAAGCCTTCAGCCGAGTATGAAAAGTCAGGGTGAAGTCCAACGTTAATCTACTGTACGTCCATTTAAAGACAAGGAAGGGAAAGAACGCTGGCAGAGCATTCTTGAAAAATAAAAGCCATATAAAGCCTTATAAAAGTTGTTTTTCCTTTGCATGAAAGTAGATTAATGTTACTGTGCATCTCCCTTTAAGAGTAATTAAGGCCCCGATACCGATGTTGAGCCGATACTGACTCCATTTATTTGTTATTTTAACTTAAACTATGACTTACCTAACTTAAACAAACATTAAACTAAATTCTTCAGCCATTAAAACACAAGAGACATATTTCATGCATGTGATTGTTGAGTGAATACATACCCTTCTGGTTTTTCTTTGCCATGTTGTCACACAGAAATATGCAGGAGACACTTGGCCGTGCACTTCCTCAAGACTGTAATCACACTTCAAGTATGCTTAAGATGGTGTTCAAATAAAGGCTCCCAGAGACGTCAATTCCACTTTGAGTCTTTCACGTAAAGAGAAGATGCCAATAAGGCTCACGACGTTTCTCCACCAAGTTGATCCAAATCTGTGAGGGGGGGGCGGAGAAACAGAAGTGAAAATGGTTTTGCCCCAATGAACTAGAATGTAGAAAAGAAACAAGTCACAATGCTGCATGAAGCAGAAATATCTACTTTTGTAACATCGTGAAAATATGAATGCAAATTAAATCCATTTCCTCTATGAATGAAAAACAGATTTCAGTAAGTTATCGTCCGTCTGGCGGAGCATTCTTGGGGAAAAAAAATAAAAATCTGTCGTTAATATTGTCGTTGGCAGAAGAGCAGCATCTAGTTTGGGGGAGGGGGGGGGGGAGAGAGGATGTTAGCAGGACTTCAGAGAAACACGTCTTTGAACGACGGTTCCTTTTTCTCAGTTCTCTGCAGGGGTGATAATGCTGCAAGGGCTGCACCTACGAATTAAAACCATCGCTTTGTCTGGAACCGATGATGGAAGTGAGCCTTCTCGTATAGGCTTGTATTGTTATTTCACCACTGTAGAAGACGCATATATGTGCTGTAGAAGACGCATATATGTGCTCGACAAATGAAACACACTTCAGCCATTTTGCCTCCAGACCTTCCAGCAATCTGGATTTTGGATTTTTTTTTTGATGAGTTTGCCAACTTTTTAGGTTTCTATTTTGACCCAGGGTTTCCTATAAAACGAAACTTACAAACTTATACAAACCCACACCCTGTTGATTAGAACTTGGCATGCCTCACAGAGTCCTGGTGCCACCACACCTCTACTGTACAGACGTCAAACTCACCATGAGCACGACCAACAAGCGACACTGCAGCAGCAGCTCATGCAGAGCACTAGGATGCATTGTGTTTGTCAAGAGGGATGGTGCTCGAGTCCTCAAGAGACAGAGAGCCAGGTGCACTTGTGATGCAACTCGGGAGAAGTGCTAACTCAGCACTCAAATAAAACTGGCGACTGAAAAAAAGTTTGAATTGAAGAGTTGGGGAATTTAAATTAAAGCTGGAGGGTCTTCTGTCACAGTTAGAGTTGCGACAATTATTGTCAGAAAAATATTCGCCAACTTATAATATCCACTTAATCATTAAAGGAATTTTTCATGCTGAAATGTCAGAAAATGCTTTTTTTTTCCAACTTCTCCAATATTGAGATTTCCTTCTTTTCGCTGTTTTACATCATATTAAAGTGAAGATCTTTAATAATATAATATTAAAGTGAAGATCTGGACAGACAAAACCAGACATTTCATAGACCAAACAATTCATCCGGTAAATTAGTGTTCAGTTGCATCTCTATTCACAGTAGCATACATAATCTCAAACAAGCTTGCAGTTTGTTTTGTTGGGGTCCAATATGCGATTACTTAGATATTTCTTTCATCACCACAGACCAAATCATATCTTCTCCTGACAAACAGGTAGAAAACCAGCTGCCTCTGTGTCCAAAGTCCTGCACTTAAAACATGGAGCACTTCTTAATGCAGGCCAGAAAACCGACGTTAAATATCCTAAATTAAAAAACAGGTAACGTTAAAGTTATAGCTAGCTAATCAGGCAGTGATCCCCGGCATTACTCGTCGCAGTCGAGTTAGCATCTTAAATAATATAACGTAACGTCAATTCAAAGTCCGTGCAATTCTGCTCACTGCAGAAGTCATATTAGCCTCAGGGTAGCAGTAAAAAAAACACTCAGATATTCAGGGTTTCCTGCAATCACAGCGAAAACAAAAGAACCGTATCGACTAACTTTAACCAAACAGCCAACTTCATTTTAATGTTAACTAACCATGTGAAATTATTAATGAAACACGATCAAACTGCGCATATTTTTGCACGTTTCCAGTTGAGTTTTACTGACCCGAGGGTTCACATAACGTTATTTATGTCCGGGAGGTTACGTTCACGATAGCTTGCTAACATCCTAACGTCTGTGTGGTTAGCTCCGCTGGTCTTTGCGTTACTAACCTCAGTAATTTACCATTTAAATCCTCAAACCAACAAAGACTAAATGCAACATCAACGCCTTTTCTGTGGATCATTGGATGCAGCCTTAGCTAGCTAGCAGACATCCTTTATTTTTAAAGCTAGCCATACCTGCACGTTAGCTACTCAACTCTGACGTTATACAGCTAAAGCATTGCTTATTCGATCCGTGATTAGATTATTGTGTTAGTATATATACATATTATTAAATACGTACTTGGTGTTGGTAAGAAAATTGAACAGTAGATTCTGAACACAGGTCACCACTGACTCCACCGCCAGCCGTCTGTACTGCCTAGAAGTCTCTGCTGTGGGCAGTATTTTACTCGACTAGACTCCATCGGGGTTGCCAGGTTGGATTCAAAGACCCTCCCTTTTCAACAAGCAGTTTTAAAAAACGTGAGGGTTTCCAAGTCCATGTACGTACAAAAAGATCCGCATGTATATATAAAACACTAAGACAATCACTGATAAAGATGTAGATAAGAATAACTGTCTGATAATCTGGGGAAAAAGAAACGTCAGATAATCTCTTTTACGTTAACTAAAGGATCAAAATGGCTGAATAAGGTATATTCGTGAGTTGGAGAATATGACGGTATCTTTACAACCTGGGAGGACTCATATGTTTGCAGTTGATGCGCATATCTTATATCTTATATATATATATATATATATATATATATATATATATATATATATATATATATA